TGAACGGAAGAGGATTGGTATCTCCTATGCTGTCACCTATTTCTTGGATTGGATTCATATTCTAACTAGTCAAACAAATCTTTATTCACTATCATGTATTAGGTATCATCGTAACTTCCACAGTGCAATGGTCCAGTGAGGGAGACAGATATGTGAAAAGGTAATCGCAGTATAATGTGATGAGGACTATATTAAAGCATTTAACAAGTGTGAACCAAGTGCGATAGAGATCAAGAAGCTTGAGGGAAAAAAATCTTTGAGATTATCAGTAGAACCCTAAGAAGTCACAAATGAAATATCAATACGCTGTATTTGTAATGTTGTCTTATAATCTTTGAATAGGGAGAGACAAACAGAGCTGAAATCATCAGTGTCAATATGGCTTAGATAAGACTGTATGTAGCCCATCTGTGTCAACATGACTTATTTAGTTCCAGAAAACCTTTGCCCAGGAAAGATAAGATTGTAAACAAAACAAAAAGAAAAAAAAAAAAATCTCTATTTTTTTTTGTTGCATAAAGAAGATCCTACAGGATGGAGACAGTAATCTGCTTACTTGGGCAAACAGCTGGCTAATCAAACAGCAGTTTACTTATCAAGGTTCTTCCAGGCCTGTGCGTGCTGTCTCCACCAATCCTGAACCAGTTAATTAACTTTGCCAAATCCAGTCAGTTCCCTGTCTTCACAGACATGCTTTAAACTATGAGAACAAGGATCCCAAAGTTCTACAAAAATCCAATTTTCTGGTTATGAGACACAGCTAAGTGTTTCAAAGTGGTTTACTCTTTTACTGCAGTTTTGGTTCTTAGTTGCTTTATTAACAGGTTGTCTGATGATATTTGGAAGAATTCAAAAATAACAAAGTTTTTTTTCCCCCCCAAAGGATTGTTCGTTTAATCACCGTGTACCACACAGTAAGTCATTTTTCTATGTCAGGCCCATTCATCTTTCACTAACAGGTCTATATTGCTGTTGTTAATCGATGTTAATTGGCTTTTTCTTAGAGAGGCCTCATTTAGAATACAAAATCTCTTCAAGAAGTTTGTCCTTTCTGTAACAACTTACTGTCCATTGATGGATGAATGGATAATGAAAATGTGGTATAAAAGAAGGAAAAAGAAGGAAAATTTGACATTTGTGGCAACATGGACAGACCTTGAGGGCATTATGTGAAGTAGAGTAAGTCAGAGGCGGGGGAGGGTATGTGGACAAAATGGGTAAGGGTTCAAAATGTACAAACTTCCAGTTATAAAATACATACATCATGGGGATGTAAAGTTCTCATGAGAGGAAAAAAAAAACCTTTGTAACTATGTAGGGTAATGGATATTAACTAGACTCATTGTGGTGATCATTTCACAATATGTACAAATATCAAATCATTATGTCATACACCTGAAATTAATATAGTGTTATTATGTTAATTATATCTCCGTAATTAATTAATTATAAAAAGAACATATCCTTGCTAACTATAAACCACTACCAGAGACACAAAGATAACCAATTTATTGTTGTCAATCACTAAGCCAAATGTAAGAATCAATGGAGGAACTTAGAAATTCAGGTTTCCATGCTTCACTCACAGTGATTCTGATTCAGGTAGATTAGCACAAGGCTCAGGAATGTCTCTTTTAAAAGCACTAGCTTTTCCTAATTCAAGCTGTCTTTAGATCACACTTAGAGAAGTATATGTATATTTATAAATATATATAAATATATTACACATATATACACACCTGTATTAAATGTTCCACATACTTCTTATAATAATGGGATCACACTCTCTATATATTGTTCTATGATAAGCTTTTCAAGGAACATTATATAATCTTTCTGAATAATCACATACAGATCTGTGTTGTTTTTAACGGCTACATTATATTCCACTATAGGCATGTACCATGTTTTATCTGGTCCTCTATTAATGGTCATGTAGATTCTTTCTCCTTTTTTGCTATTACAAGCAATGCTGCAATGAATAACTTTAAATATATCTGTGCTAACATTTCTGTAGTATATAGAGAATGGAAAAGTACAGAAGGATAGAATTGCTAGGTCAGAACGAATGTGCACTTCAAAGTTTGATAGATCCTGCTGA